AGAGCCCTTCTCCTTTCCATCAGTGTGATGGTGTCGTGGTTTAACCCCAGCCAGCAACTAAGCACCACGCAGCCGCTCACTCACTCCCCCCCATCCAGTGGGATGGGGGAGAAAATCGGGAAAAGAAGTAAAACTCCTGGGTTGAGATAAGAACGGTTTAATAGAACAGAAAAGAAGAAGCTAATAATGATAATGATAACACTAATAAAATGACAACAGTAGTAATAAAAGGATTGAAATGTACAAATGATGCGCAGGGCAATTGCTCACCACCCGCCAACCGACACCCAGCCAGTCCCTGAGCGGCGAATCCTTGCCCCCCACTCCCCAGTTCCTAAACCAGATGGGACGTCACATGGTTTGGAATACACTGTTGGCCAGTTTGGGTCAGGTGCCCTGGCTGGGCATGAGAAGCTGAAAAATCCTTGACTATAGTCTAAACACTACTGAGCAACAACTGAAAACATCAGTGTTATCAACATTCTTCACATACTGAACTCAAACATAGCACTGTACCAGCTACTAGGAAGACAGTTAACTCTATCCCAGCTGAAACCAGGACAGAAGGGGAATACTTCCCAGCGTTTGACAGTTGCTTCTTTCTCATGCAAATAACGCTAGGGAACGAGGAAGTCAAGGGTTAGTATTTAGGGAAGCTGTCTCTGAGTCGTCCTTTAATCCTATTTGTTAATCAGTTCTACAAGCAGTTCACACTGATTTTTGTTCTTTAAACAAACGCTGTGTTTCCAGAGTTACCTCAAGATCTAGCAGGGTCAGGTCCCTGTAGGCTGTTGGTGAGAATGCATGTTCTGTGCAGCGGGCGAGTCTCCACTACCAGTGTTTTTAGGACTTACCATTGGTGAGATAGGAGCGTCAGCTGGGTGGGCTCAGCTGTCCACCTGTGCCAAGGCGCTCTCCTCCGTGGCTATACGGCAGGCAGGGCCTTGCTTTCAAGCCAGTTGACCTCTTTTTTTCAACTCGACTGTTGCAGCGGTCTAGAGGGCCAGAAGAGGACAGAGAAGTTCACATTGCTTTTTTGACCAATCCTTTAAAGACCAGTCTTGGCTTTAGCAGACTGAAAAGCTAGCTGCATATCACCCCCTCTCCATAATATTAAAAGTTACTAATTTTATAAAAAGCTCTGAAATTTTTCACGGCATCTATCTTTAATTGTGGAAGAGAGAATAGATTTATTGCCAGTATTCCTGTACAAAATAAATTCACTGTTAACTATACAGGTGCTTCCCAATCTGCAACTGTACAATTACCAGAGACCAAAATGGTATAATAAAGCTGCTCACAAGGTTATAAAAGAATTAAATGACCGTAACTATGTGGTCTTAAACATTTAACAAGCAGGTAAAGTGATGACAAATATACCAATATTGAAAATATACAGCCAACTTTTCACTCATTTGCATGTGAAAACCACTATGACAATGGTACCTGTGATGGCATGTGGATTTTTCTTTTTTAACAAGCGTTAGGTACTCCTTTGACTACAAATGGCAGATTAACAGTGAAATGTACTGGCAAATATCAATGTCTTTAGGATCAGAGTATTTAAAAAAAAAAAAAACACCCCAGGGAAAAAAGCCTCCATTTACAGAGAAGCAATGTATCTCTAATGGAATCTATAATTTTATTCTTTCTGTGCTTCAGGACTGTATCGGTTGCTCTTCCTTATCAAAATTAAAATGTTGGCAGCATGAGTTCTGAGACAGAAATGCCCTAATTCATCGCTTTTTTAATACTGAGGACTAGCATATGGAAAGAAAAATCAATAGCTGAGTGTGAAAAGTCCAGATAGCAGAGCCTGTCTCATCAGAGGCAGGCAGGTAGGTGGATTAGTCCTCCTGTGCTGCTGGGATTGTGCAAATTGTGGTATTTCTGCAACTTTGAAGTTATCTGCACTAAGAGAAATTGCCGTGAAAACAGTCTTACTTTCCTAGATGCTTCTCTTTTTTTTCTTCCCCCACATAGAATTGTTATTCAAAGGGAATATAAAGATTTTGAAGGCTTATCTGGGATTTTTGCATACCCTATCACTTACTCAGACACACGGCAGTAGATTGGCCAGATGCAGTTAATCCACAGCATGTCCAATGCATAAATAGCACAAAGACACACAAAACTTGATGCCTTCTCGAGATGTTGGACATACTGCGCATGTGCACATCAAACGGACAACACATTTGATAAGCCAAGCTCTTCTTGGGTAGGTTGGATCTCCTGCATGCTTGCTGTGTTGGTGGCTCACGCAGTACCTCCAATACATGCAAGGCACAGCACACTTAGCACATTTGTGCAAGTTCTCTATACACGTACACGTGACACAACCCAGATATGCCAACCGTACAGCACATTTGTAATACTACATGTGCAATGGAGAATATGAAGCAGAAATGTAGGAAACTGTATGTGTCTGGAGAATCTGAAGCAGAAATACAGGAACTTTACCCTAAAAACACCAAGGAATTGCTATCAATGTTCCCCAAATTGGTGGCTTCCTTCACTGGAGCAGGTATCAATACTTAAAAGAGAACCACCTAAGAGCCAGAAGAAGCCTTTCTCTCACCTCTGAAGAAACTGACAGAACTATGAAGCCAAATTCAATCCAGAATTTTTTGCTAATGCAAGATAGCTGTTTTGTTAAAATACCTATAGGAATACTTCAGAAGAGAGCAGATTTACGGGAAAAACTATAAAAACCAGGAAGCCTAAGCTAATTAAGAAAAACATACAATTCATCAGAGTTAAGCATTTTCAGATGTTTGCAAACAGTACTGATTGCCTTAGTTTCCTAGAACTGGTTTGCTTTGCTAACTCTTTAAGAGAATGGGACAGAAAATAGCCTGTTTCTCTGCTCTATAAAGAAGCATATCTGAAGCTTGAAATATGCTGTGTATGCACTCACCATAAGCTTACCAGGAACACTGGCTAAAATGGTCTGTCACAATCCTATTGTTAGTGGGATGTGTGGTTTAAAAGTCCAATACATTACATATTACACAGCATATGCATACACATTCAAGCACATATACTTTCTCCAAACTATTACAGTGAAGTTTATTTTTATGTGGGTCTTACACTTCCTTTCTACACACACTGGTAATGCTTGAATCAAATCAAGAACCCTGTCACTACAAATTCAGTTACTACAGAGTACATGACACGCAACCAGCTCATGAATATTATTCAGTGTATTTGATGATTGTATATTTTGGAATTAATTTTGTGTATAAGCAGCGTATCTCACAGGTATCAGCAACTCTTCTAGCAGAGGTCAGCCGCTGGAAATGTATTGAACAGTGCATCCCCAAGTGACACTTCTCTCCTCTTCATTTGGAGACTTTTTATGGAAAAAGGCAAGGAATTATTTTGCTAGTGCACATGCATTTCATTACCACAACACTTGCCTCTCTCAAATGCAAATACATTAAGTGGTACTTGATATGGATTTCCTGGTTTGCCTAACATGAGTATTTAGCAATCATCTTAAGTTCAGTCCACTAGAAGAACAAATTACACTGGAAAAATTCTTTTTCAAACAGCACACAAGTTCTGAAAAGCCAGTTGGGATGATGCCAGGTGAATGATTGCAGACACTAAAATCACAGCCCTAATAGTGTGTCTTTGACGAACTGGTCTCACAGCTCAGATGTCCACTCCACCCTGGATGTATGGTCATTTGGGCTGCCTGTTATTCAGCTCCTGAACTAAACCACTGCTGTATTGGGTGTGATGAGTCAGGACTGTAATGGGAAAGGTTAAACCTAAACCTTACCTGAACTGGAGATACCTTATACAACACTCCTCCTTAGTCATTCTGCTAGAAGTCCCAGAAGCCCTTATGAATGTCAGTCTCCTTCACTTACCACCACCACTGAGTATCAAATCTGACAATCTGATAGCTTAGCAATATGCAGAGGCATATACTGAAGGTTTGGGGGTCTACAGTAGTGCTTGCACAAGTGTTAGTAATGTAGATGAGGCCACCAACATAACAGCTAAATATCTTAAAATCAGCTATTTTCTATGACAGACCCACATTAAGACCTGGTAAAAATTCAGCACAGCGATATTTTTAGTGGGAAAAATCCTATTAATGCAACTCTGTAAGAATTGGCTGCACTATCAGACACATAGTAGATCTTACAAAGTAGCATCTTCATACCTGAGGGTGCTTTCCAAGAAAGTTTCCACATGTACGCTTCTGTTTAAGGGAAGATTTCATCAGTTTCATTTGGAAACTGTACTTCCCTAGTGTTCAGACTTCTTGAGCCAAAACCTAAGAAACTAATAGTTAACAGTCTCTCAGGTCAGCATCTGAGGAATAGGTTATAAAGAAATTAATGCAAGTATCAGAGAAATAATTTTATTTTGCTTTACAAAGTATGTGATCAACTTGGCTTTCTCTGCTGTTTCCCTATGCTGCAAAATGGCTTTGATCCGCCTCTGCTGGATGGAGGACAACATGCCAAGGAATAGCTTCCAAGATGGGAATCAAAACTAATATTAAGATTTGCAGGTTTTCATGTTCTGTTTCCTCTGACAAGGAAGATAAAGTGTGTTTTTAAGACTAAGTGAATATCGTCAGGCCATATAACATAACCCAGGTACTGAGCTCTGCCTGGAAGGATGTCTTGGCTCATCACGTATGTAATCTGTCCTTGCACATGTCCCCCAGTGATTTCACCAGAAGTTGCATTTGGCTCAAAACAGTAACTGCAAATACCACGTTAGATTCATTAGCAAGTCTAAGGAATTTTTCTGCATCACTCAGTAATTCTAAGAAAACAGGTTTTCACAAACAAATGGTTGGGCACTGTGATCAGTTCACTCAAATTCTCAAAGAGTGATGCTGTTTTCAATGAATCAATATAACTAATCAGAAATAGATTATCATTTATTTCTCATGCATTATAGAAAGTATTTGACTAATCACTACAGGAAGCTTCTGACGGGCAAATTTATTTATCCCTAAACTGGTTGGGGGTTTATTGGGGGTTTTTTTCCCTCAAAAAAAGCACTGTTTTCCTTTTTGGTTTATGGACTGATTAAATTTATTTCTGTACAAGCTGCTAAGAAGCAAATGAGAGAGACCTGTTAAAAATATTAACACGTGCATTAATATCTGTAGCCTTCTCTGTCATGTATGGTGAGGAAGTGAAATACCTATAGCAAACATGGATACACCTGAACCCCTGAGACATAATGTTTATAAATCTCTAAACAGGATTTTTATTTCTGAAAGATTCCATAGATCTACTTTCAGAACCAAAGCAAACATACTTCTAAGTCATCTGTGAACATCAGCACTCAAGGATAAGCTAAAAACATAGTATCAGAGGCATCTGCATAGACTTTCAGTTTATTAACATTCTTACGATAAATGATAAGATACCATTGTAGTCTGTCCTTGCAGTCTAATCTGCAGAGCTATGTACTAGAAAATACATTGTAGGCCTTAGGTAATACATTCCTAATCAAAAAACACTCATTACAAGCCTTCATTTCATATACAGTCATTGCTCCATGGCTGAGGTGAGTCATGCAGATCTGCTCACCTGCAACATGCGCGTGCTCTCTCTCTCCCCCAAGTCCTAGGTTAGTGATCTCACACAATGAGTTTTCCCAAGCACATGTAGTATCAGAGCTGTTTCTAAGATACTAATTGGACTGACTTCAGAGTACCGGGCAATAGGTAAGGCAGGTGCTGTTACCACCACCAAAAGCTATGAATCAAAGGCACACCTCAGTCACGGTTTCTCCCATTTCCTGTTTGGCCTGTAAATGTGGCAAATTAGATACTACCAGATCCGTCTCTGATGTGTTGGTCAGAGAAGAGATGGGTGGATTGAGGAACTGGAGTTCTTCCTGACCCTCCCTGCACCCATTTCAGGAAGCATGCCTACAATTCAGGTAATGCTCAAAGAAATCACGCTGTCCCAAGTGCTTAGTGAGGGCAGGCAAGCACAC